TATAATTTGCTCCATTATACCTTCTGCCCCCCTCTCTCTTTCTTCTTCTTCTGGGATCCCAATTATTCTAATGTTGTTTTGTCTTATGGTATCGCTTATCTCTCGAATTCTGCCCTCGTGATCCAGTAGTTGTTTATCTCTCTTTTTCTCAGCTTCTTTATTTTCCATCATTTGGTCTTCCATATCACTGATTCTCTCTTCTGCCTCATTTATCCTAGCAGTTAGTGCCCCCATATTTGATTGCACCTCATTAATAGCCTTTTTGATTTCAACCTGGTTAGATTTTAGGTCTTTTACTTCTCCAGAAAGGGTTTCTCTAATAACTTCCATGCTTTTCTCAAGCCCAGCTAGTATCTTTAAAGTGATGATTCTGAACTCTAGATCTGACATCGTACTAATGTCTGTATTGAGTAGGTCCCTGGCAGTCGGTACTACCTCTTGTTCTTTTTGTTGAGGTGATTTTTTCCATCTTGTCATTTTGTGCAGAGGAGAATAGATTAATGAGAGAACAAAATGCTAGCAGAGTAACAACGTCCCCAGAAAATATACTCTAAACAAATCAGAAAAGACCTGAAACAGTGGGATAAGAAAGGGAAAGAGAGAAAAAAGAAAAAGAAAAAGATAAAGATAAAAACAAACAAAAACAGAACAAAACAAAACAACAACAAAAAACCAGAATGTGATCAAATATGATCAGGCTGGTATATAGATCAGTGCCACACACTAGATTTGGGGTGTATTTTGGTCTGTTAGAAGAAAGTGCCTCCCAAAATTTTAAAGAAAGAAAAACCTATATATGTACAAAAATAAGGGTTGATATGATGAAGGGATGGAATATGACTGTAAAGATGGAAATTATAAAAAATTTTATGAAAGGAATTGATAAGAAGTTGTTTGAAAAAAGAAAGAAGAGGATTTAAAAAAAAAAAGAAAAAAAAAGGAGAGAATGTTATCAGGCAGGGGAGTAGAAAAAGACCATATACTAGAGATTTAGGGTATATTTCGATCTGTTAGAAGAAACTATCTCAAGATTTTAAAGAGAGAACAACTTATATATATATGCCAAAAATACGGGTAACTACTATGAAGGGATAGAATATGACTCTAAAAATGAAAAATAAAAATGTTTTTTAAAAAAGGGATTGATAAGATGTTGGTTGAAAAAGGGAAAAAGAAAAATTCAAAAAAAAGAAGAAAAGACAGTTAAAAAAAAATTAACTTTGGAAGACTAAAGAATCATGGTAAAAAAGCCATGAATTCTATGTGCATTATTCCCCTGGTGCTGGAGTTCTGCTGTTCTCATTGATCAGTAAACTTGGTCTTGGCTGGCTGTTCTTGCTGATCTTCTGGGGGAGGGGCCTTTTGCCGTGGTTTCCAAATGTCTTTGCTGGAGGCAGAATTGCCCCGCCCTTGCCCCGTCAAGGCTAAGTAATCTGCTCAGGTTTGCTCTCAGAAGCTTTCGTTCCCTGCGAGCTTTCCGTACAGCTTTGGAGGCAGAGACTGAAAATGGCGGCCTCCCAATCTCCACCCCGGAGGAGCCGAGAACTCGGGCCGCTCCTCAGTGCGCCCCCAGAAAAAAGCCGTCAGTCACTCCCGTCTCCCCGGTCTCCGGCCACACTCCGTGCTCGCCCGGCCTGTGACCGCGCGTTTCTATCTCTGGCACCCGACCCGGTCTGGAGTCTCCAAACCCAGCAGATCCCTGCGGTGCACTCCCGCGCGGCTCCTCCCGGGGGAGGAAGGTGAGTCTCCCCGGATCTGCCGCTTGTTGGGTCCCTGGTGGAGGAGCAGGGGCCCGACTGTGCCTCGGATCATGGTTTATGGCCACCCCAAGCTGAGAGCCCGCGCCTGGGCTCCGCCTCTGCAGCCGGCTTCCCTGCTCTGATACCTGGGAGCTCTGCCACACTCAGGCCCCCCCGGTCTTTCTGTGACCCCGAGGGTCCTGAGACCACACTATCCCGGAGGGTTCCACCCCCCGCTTAGCCACCAGAGTGACGTCCCTCAGTGGAGCAGACTTCTAATAGTTCCGATTTTGTGCTCCGCGGCTCTATCACTTGCCAGAAGCAGCCAACGGAGGCCCCTCCCCTGCCATCTATCCTCCCGAATATCGCCTCGGATTCACTTCTCCGCACGTCCTACCTTCCAGAAAGTGGTCGCTTTTCTGTTCAGAGAGTTGTTGCTCTTCTTTTCTTCGATCTCCTGTTGAGTTTGTAGGTGTTCAGAATGGTTTGATCCCTATCCAGCTGAATTCCTGAGAGGAGACGAAATCCAGGTCTCCTACTCCTCCGCCATCTTGCTCCTTATCCCGGTTTGATGTCCTCTTTAAGAGAAGACTTGTGATGTGTCCTTGGAACATTTTGTTTTTTCTAGTAGTAGATTGACTAATTTGCATTAAACTATGAATTCAGGTTTTTTAGAAATATGATTTTGGACATTGTTGCTGGGAATGTAAAATGGTACAGTGGCTGGAAAACAATATGGGGGTTCCTTAAAAATTAAAAATAAAATTATAGTATAATCCTGCAATTCCACTTAAGGGTGTGTACCCAGAGAATTGAAACAGGAACTCTAAGAAATATTTGTACCCATGTTCAGAGCAGCATTATTCGCAATAACCAAAGGAGGAAGCAACCCAAACGCCCATCGATAGATGAATGGATAAATAAAATGTGGTATATACAAACAGTAGAGTATTACTCAGTCTTAAAAAGGCAGGAAATTATGACACATGTGACAACATGGATGAACATTGAGGGCATCATGCTAAGTGAAACAAGCCAGTCACAAAAAGGTAAGATTCTACTTATATGAGGTTCCTAGAGTTGTTAAATTAACAGAGACAACCAGGGTCTGGGGGGAGAGGGTAATGGGGAATTTTGTTTAATGTTAATGTTTAATGCATACATAATTTCAGATGAGCAAGATGAAAAGAATTCTGGAGAGGGATGGTGGTGATAGTTGCAGAATGTTAATGTTCTTAATGCCACCAAACTATACACTTAAAGTGGATAAGATGGTAAATTTAATGTTATGTGTGTTTTACCACAATTAAAAAATATTAAATAATAAAATTAGAAAATCTGATTCAGAATATGAAGATGACACAAACAAATGGTAAGACATATCATACTCATAGAATGGAAATTAATGTTGTTGAAGTGTCCATCCTACACAAAGCAATCTACAGATTCAGTGCAATCCCTATCAATATACCAATAGCATTTTTCATAGAGCTAGAACAAATAATCCTAAAATTTGTACATAAACACAAAAGATCCCAAATAGCCAAAGCAGTCTTGAGAAAGAAGAACAAAGCTGTGGTATCACAATCCCAGTGATCAAGATACACTACAAGGCAGTAGTAATCAAAACAGTATGGTACTGGCACAAAAACAGACACACAGATCAATGAAACAGAATAGAAAGTCAAGAAATAAGCCCATGCTTATATGGTCAAGTAATCTGTAATATAGGAGCCAAGAATATACAATGGGAGAAAGATAGTGTCTTCAGTAATGGTGCTGGGAAAACTGGATGGCTGACTATGCAAAAAAAGTGAAACTGGACCATTTTCTTATGCCATACACAAAAATAAACTCAAAATGAATTAAAGACCTAAATGTGAGACCTGAAGCCATAAAAATTCTAGAGGAGAACACAGGCAGTAATTTCTTTGGCATTGGTCATAGCAACATTTTTCCAGATACGTCTTCTGAGGCAAGGGAAACAAAAGCAAAAATAAACTGTTGGGACTTCATCAAAATGAAAAGCTTTTGCCCAGCAAAGGAAACCATCACAAAACAAAAAGACAACCTACTGAATAGCAGAAGATATTTACAAATGACATACCCAATAAGGAGTTAATATCTAAAATATATATAAAATTATGCAACTCAACACTAAAAGAAAAACCATATTAAAAAATGGGCAGAGACATGAATAGACACTTTTCCAAAGAAGGGCATACAGATGGCCAACAGACACATGAAAAAATGTCCACTATCACTCAGCATCAGGAAAATACAAATCAAAACTACAATGGGAGGTATCACCTCACATGTGTCAGAATGGCTAAAGTAAAAAAGATAAGAAATAACAAGCATTGGTGAGGATGTGGAGAAAGGGAATTCTTTTGCACTGATGGTGGAAATGTAAATTGGTGCAGGCACTGTGGAAAACAGCATGGGGGGATTCCTCAAAAAATTAAAAAATAGAACTACCATATAATTCAGTAATTCCACTGCTGGGTGTTTACCCAAAGAAGAAAAAAACACTAATTTGAAAAGATATATGCACCCCCATGTTTATTGTAGCATTATTTGCAATAGCCAAGATACGGAAGCAGCCCAAGTGTCCATTAATAGAAAAATGGAGAAAGAAGATGTAGTATATACACACACACACACAATGGAACATAGCTCAGCCATAAAAAAAGTATGAGATCTTGCCATTTACAACAACATGGATGGACCTGGAGGGTATTATGCTAAGTGAAATAAGCCAGACAGAGAAAGACAAATACCATATGGTTTCACTTATATGTGCAATCTAAAAGACAGAATAGACGAACAAACAAACAAACAAACAGACTCATAAATACGGAGAACAAACTGGTGGTTTCCAGAGGGTAATGGGCGGGGGTGTGGGGGGTGATGGGCAAAATAGGGGAAGGGGATTAAGGGGTACAAACATCCAGTTATAAAATAAGTCACAGAGTTGAAAAGTACAGCACAGGAATATAGTCAATAATATTGTAATAATGTTATGTGGTGACAGATGGTAAAAAAAAGAGAAAATATGACTTAAAAACATTTTATAAATATAAAAGAATACATGTTAATTGCAGAAGAGTTTAAATTATGTCTGTATGTGCACATACACATATATATACACACACATACTTACATACACATGCATTTCATAAAATTGTATCATATTGTATCTTGGTTTATTTCTCTAACATATAAAAGCACCATCTTCATCTTTCACTTCCTGGTTTCCAGGTGTGCAATGGCTTGGAGCAGCCGAGGAAGCAGCAACGCTCTGATCTCAATGGACCCGTGGACAATAACAACACCCCAGAGGTAATTTTTTCCAAGGATAAGAGTTGTGGCCTAAGGTCCTAGTATTGGAGCTACCCATGCCATCATGGTCTGCTCACCCTTTCCGCCATGTTCTCATCCCAGCCAGTGCCTTGGAAGTGGGGATTCAGTCAAGCAAAGTTGGGTGTCCTTGTAGGAGAAGGAAGAAAAGGTTCTTTCCTGCTGATTCAGGCTTATACCACTGGGTGTTCATGTGTTTCCAATGGTGTGTGTGTGGGGTTCATTTGTGCTCCCTGGTTTGACAGAAGCTCATTCTACTCCATTATCTGACAGTTATATTCTAAGTTAGGGTTACTCAACAATGGCAGCATTGACATTTGGGCCAGAACATTCTTTGTTGTGAAGGGCTGTCTTTTCCGCTAAAGGATGTTTAGAAGCATCTCTTTTTTTTTTTTTTTTAAGATTTTATTTATTTATTCATGAGAGACAGAGAGAGAGGGAGTGGCAGAGGGAGAAGCAGGCTCCCAAGGAGCAGAGAGCCCGATGCGGGACTCGATCCCAGGACCCTGGGATCATGACCTGAGCCGAAGGCAGACGCTTAACCATCTGAGCCACCCAGGCGCCCTAGAAGCATCTCTTTAAGGTCGGAGACTCAGTTTCCTCTCAGCCTCCCAGCTCTCCCATGATCTTGCTGGTTTTTAAAGTTCCAGGCTTTAAGTACTGCTGGTTGTAAGAACTCATGAAATAGGTCCCTCTGGTTTTCAAAGCCGAATGTTATGGGGATTTGTCTTCCCCATGCAGGCTCACTGGTGTGAAAATCTCTTTCTCTCCCCTCTCCAAGCACATGGCATTCCCCCTCCCTCAGACAGTTCCACAGGTCCATTTAGCTCTTGACCATGTATCTGCCCTTCCTCTCCTCTTCCGTGTGTCCTCTTGTCTATATTTAGCTGTGGAGTTTGTTGTGCCAGTCTTGGGTGGTTTCCTGGGTTACACACACTAATGTGGCTGTTATCTAGTTGTAGGCCAGAGCTGTGACACATGACCAGTGCCCTGGACTTCAGGGTTGGCTAGAGGATCAAGTATTTGGCTTTCTAGGAAGGCAGGGGAGAATCATTGGTTGTATGGTCTCTAGGCTCCCTTCTAGCAGACATGCAAATCTGGGGGTCCCTATGTTTTAGATGATGGCCTTTTGTACCCCAAGTTGCCCCATGGGAATGGATTCCATGTGTCCTGCCTAAGCACCATGGTGCCTGAATGCCATTAGTTTGCTTTCTGGAGCTGACTTCTTAGGAACATCAGACACTCAGTGGGATTTAGCTTTTCACATACGGTACTCTTCTTAGTCTAGATCTTTCAGGCCATCTACTTACAACTGTCATGTGTTTGTTTTGTTTTGTTTTGTTTTTCATATTTCCTAACAGACGAAGAAGGTGGCATCATTTCCAAGTTTTGTGGCTGGTAAGTGACCTTGAATTTTCTCTTAGAGAACAGTTGCATTTTTCTCTCAAAGCAAATGGTATTTTTACTTTTGGTTTTCTCCTGCAAAGCTTGTGTAGAAAGCACACCTTCGAGGTAAAAACAGTGTTACGATAAGCAAAGGTGCTCAGGCATTTGGTTGTTGGAACACTTTGTAAGCGCATATTGGTATGGAGGGGGGTGGTTCAGTTGATTATTGATCGGGTTAAAAATTGAAATGTGTCGGTATAAGCAACTGATTATGATCTAACACTTTTGATTAGGGTGGATATAATTGCATCCAAATACAGGCTGTTACTCCTTTATCACACTTCATTTCCCTCCATTCTCCTGTCTTTTTTGAGGGGGTTAATATTGGATTTCAGCATTCAGTGTTGAGCCAACTTTGCACCATCTGACTAGCCTCAGGGAAGCTTGGGCTGCTCCTTTCCAAGGTCCTCCAACAACACCATAAAGAGCCTCTTAAATAGGATCTTTCTTTAGCCAGGAGGCTGTTTCCTGCTGTTGCTAGTGTTACAATAAAAAGTGTGGATTTTATTACTTCTTGCAGTAAGCTGGTAATTAATTTTTATGAGTATTTATGGGAGTAAGGTAAATCAGTCATCAGAGATAAATAACTTTAGAACCTTTCCTACCCTGGTTTTCCTTTTTAGTAAAAAGCTGACATCTAGGAAACCAAGGCCCCCAAATATCCTTTCAAGGGACTAGTTTGAATCAGGCTAACCCAATTCAAACTGGTTGAAAATGAATTGAGTGGCTCAACACAATTTCGGCGGGTTCAACATTATATTGGCTCACTGTTGCTCAAACTAGATTAAAAACAGTTTCGAACTGTTGGAATCCATGTTATACAGTTCAAATACACTTGAGTCCATTTTGACCAACTCAAGCAGGCTCAAATGGGTTTTGCCCAGCTGTTTACATGTGGTGCTTAATGGTTAAAACTGGATCAAACTGGTTTTCATCAGGTCACAATAGGTTATAATAATTCCAATCCAACTGGCTAGGTTTAGTTTTTTTCAGGACTTAATGATTGGCCGGAAGAGACAACACCCACTCCATGCCCCCATGGTAGGGTTGATTAGGTTCCTGATTCAGAGGACTCGACATCTCATAAATAGGGAAGATGCACCACTTTCCTGGGTGATCAGAATGTCAGGATGGCGTGTACCAGTCACACCGTTCCAGTGAGGTGGGCTCTTGTGGATCCAAGCAGCTCACTTTTCAAAGTATCATGGTGTCATGTGGGTATAACTCCCTCAAACTGCCTAGGGGAATGATTTGGACATTAGACTCCCCTGGCTCTTGAGTCAGCCCCCTAACTGGAGGGGAGGGCCGTGGAGAAGGACCAGGAAGGAGTATCCATGCTTAGGTGCTCTGAGAAGTACCTCTCACTTGCAGCATTCCAGAAGACTCACTTCTCTGAACCAGCTTAGACTGTTCTAAACCAAATCAAAACAAAGTTGGATGCCTCAAACCAGTTCCGATGGGCTAAAGCTGCTTGTGACCAGCTCAAACCAGTGTGGATAGCCTTAATCTAGAATTTCCTGGGGCAGCTCAGTTGGTTGAGCGTCTGACCCTTGGTTTCAGCTCAGGTCATGGTTTCAGGGGCCTGGGATCGAGCCCCATGTCTGGCTTCACGCTCAGCAGGGAATCTGCTTGAGACGCTCTCTCTTCCTCTGCCCCTCCCCCGGCTGGCTGTCTCTCTTTCTAAAATCAATGAATAAATCTTAAAAAAAAAAAAAAAAAAAGAATCTCCTGTTAGGCACACTCATGGAGTGATTGTTGGAGATATTGGCCCCTGAGAACATGAGGGTCTTAAACCGGGATGGCTCCACACACCCTCCTTGAGGGGTGTTTCATACCCTCAGGCTCCCGCCTAGCTCCTGGACAGCTGTGTGGACACTCACAGAAGAGTCCAACTAGCAAACTGCAGTTCCTGCCTTATTCCTTCTGAGGAAGCAGCCCCATGTCTACTTGAACTTAGGAGACCTTGTGAATCTGAATGTTGAGTTGAACCTGAAAAGACCTTGAGGACCAACTCAATAGCCTTCTCCTTGTCCCTCATTGGTCAGAGCTGTGACACATGACCAGTGCCCTGGACTTCAGGATTGGCTGGAGGATCAAGTATTTGGCTTTCCAGGAAGGCAGGGGAGAAAGTCTGGAGACGAGTGTTGAGGGAGCAAGCCCCCAGTGCCTGCTGTACCGCATCCATCCAGTGAGCATTTCAAGGGTGGGGGAGCCCCCAGGGCTTGTTCAGTCCTCCAGCTGAAAGTCTGAAGAGCTGAGAAGGCCCGGGATAACTGTGATGGGGAAGCAGGCCTTCCTCCTCATCTGGGTCTAAGAGATCACACTGGAGGAAAACCTCCTTGGGGTTTTAAGGAGGGATGGCTTTCAGTCCCAGCGCATGCTTTATTTCACAAACCTAATAACTGTTAATAATAATGAAAGATAATAGTAATAGTCAAAGGGACACCGTCTTAACATTTATTGGGCGCTGAGTGTGTGCCAATCCCAGGGATGTGAGCCGTGCACCTACTTCATGTCAGCCACCACAGGAGGGGCAGATGCTTCCCCCATTCTATAGGTTAGGGAAAGTGAGGTTCAAGTAATTCATCTGAGGTCTGATGGCTGGTGCTCTTAGACCCATATCTGGGTACTTTGCAGCATGAGCTCCTCACCAGATGGTTTCCTACCTCCTTAACACGCCTTCGTATACCACCACCACCAATAATGAGGCCAGGGAATTCTTACTGGGTGCTTCTGTTGAGTAGGCACACTTCTTAAATATACTATCTCAGTGGTCCTCCTAACAACACTAAGAGGTAGGTGGTGTTACAGATGAGTAAACTGAGGCTTAGAGAGGGTGAGTCATTTACTCAAGGTCACCAAGGATTGGAACCCAGGTGGGAGTCTGAGCTCATTGTCCCCATACTAGACTGCTGAGCAACCCTCAGCATGCAGCAGGTGAAAAAAAACCTTTCACCTGGAGAAGACACATGGTTCAGATTCCAGGGAGTCCACAGGAGGAAAGCCTTCCAGAAGTCAGAGTTGTTGGTCTCTCTCAGACTCAGAGTTGCAGCCCTTTCTCATCAGAGGCACCTGAGGGATGAGGCCCCCATGACTACCATCTGTAGGAGAACACTCCAGGATCCATTGACCCCCCTTGGCCCCTCTCTGACTGGGAAGGTTGACACCACAGAGTAAACCTTGTAAAAGGGTCTTTTGAACAGAGGACTCACCACCTTCCCTGCAGGGAGGAATTGTAGAGTGGTGAGGAATGGTGGGACCCGCAGGATGTCCCCTTATTGCGGGACATGGAGTTTGGCAGTGGCATGAGTCCAAGTGGACCAGATGGTTGTCCACCTCTGAATGAGTCTATGTAAAAGTCTAGCTTTTCCATAAAACCAGAAATGGGTTCATTAAAACCAGAAGTTTGGTGCTGGTCCCAAGCAGTGGAGCCTAATATTGTCAGCTTCAGAACAAAACCACAAAGGCTGATAGATAGAATTCTGCTCCTCACACTGTTCTAATCCAACAGCCAAAGCTCGTGCAAGATGTCCTGAAACATGCCCCACCCCACCAACAGCTCTAGCCTTGTGCTAGAATGTGGCTTGTCCTCAAGTGTCAGGGCCCTGGGATCCCTTACGACCTGTCTCTACTCTGAAACTACCCACCTGTGAGAACGTGGGCCCCCCATCCCTGCCAAGCTTGCTTGTCACACCTTCCTTCTCTTGGGGGGTCCTCACAATGATAAAGCCACTTGGTTATTTTCATGCAGTGGATGCTTACGATCTGTTTTGTTTTCTAAATTCCACATATGAGTGAAATCGTATGGTATTTGTCTTTCTCTGACTTAAAATGGGCAGTTGGGGTGAACCTGTTTAGATGAGACTCCTAAATTGAAGGCCGCTCACATCTCTTCCACTTCAGCCTGTCAGAGGGGCCAGGCTCCTGAGCCACAGAGCAGGCAAGCCTAAGGGGATGGGTGGGCATGGGTCTGGGGTGCTGTTGGCAGGAGGACTGGAGTAAGGTAAATCCTGGGGACCAGCAGGGCCCAGAGCATTCCAAAGGGAGGTTATGAAAACCAAAATGACTTTCCTTTCTTACAAACAGTGTTTGATCTTGTCCAAATGGAGTCGTGAATAGGGATTAGACAGATTTTAAAATAGGAATTTTTATTCACTAGAGGTTTAAGATATTTCTGAGTAGTTCTTAGAACAAGCCAGAAGCCATAAGAATTAAAAATGCATTCTACCCTGGAAATCCTTATTTCCCTTCTCTATCTGCACATCCCTGTACTTTTCCCTTTTCTGCCTGCACATCCCAGATCCCTGATCCCTCTCTCTGCAATAGAAGCTGCTGTTGAGTCTCTTGTGAATCCTTCCAGAAATTTCTTGGACATATACAAAACTATAGACCCTTTTCTTGAAGTAGACATTACACTTGGACACATGGGTCTGTACTTTGCTTTTTCATTTTTTGGTACCTCTTAGAGATAAGCTACTATAGAGCCACCTAATTATTAAGTGGCTGCCCAGGATTCAGGTTCGTGGACATATGATGGGTATTAATCAGTCCCCTGTGGACTACTTGGTTGCTTCTGGTCAGTGCAGCAGTGAGCAGCCTCATGGATGTGTCTCGGTGTTCATGTGTGTGTTCCTTCACAGAAGGTGTTCCTAGATAGAGCAGGGTTGCAGGCCAGCCACACGCCGACTTGGGTAGATAATGGCCCAAGAGGGAGACGGGTTATACCACCCTCAGCTGTGTGTGAAAGTGTTGCTTCACCAACACTGTGAGCCATCCATCCATTGGGTTGTAGCCGGGCCAATGGATGAAAGTGATTTTACACACATATCTTCATCGGAAGTGAAGCCAAATGCTGTTTCATGTGTTTACAAGCCATTTTTATTTATGTTCCTATACATTGTCTGTTTATTTCCTTTGCCCACTCTTCTGTTGGATTTTTGGTGTTTCTTACT